ATCTAATTTGCATAATTAATGAGGAAATTCTATAAATCAGCTGTATTTCATATTAGGGCTATAAAACTCTATAGACATATGTTAGTGAGAACGACAAGATCATTGGCAGATATCGATTATGTAAAGGAAGACCTAATTTGCATAATAAATGGCAAATTGGTACAATTTTATGGTGGTAACTGCTGGGAATTTAATACTTGCCATAATTGGAAGTTCAGTGAAGGTGAACATCACTAAACATAATTTATGTCAATCAGGACCTCATTTGCATAATTTATGAGGAAACGCTAGAATAGCCTTATTTCTTAAGATAACCCTGTCATTTGGTGGAGAGTATGATCAATTGATACAATATATGCAAATGGCCTCATATGATTTGAATATATGCGGTGAAAAATGTAAGCCAATTACAGGTGGTCATCACCATGCGTAAGATTTATGAAAACAATACACATGTCATGGAGGTATGAGATCATCGAACTCTAGTTTTATCGCTACTTCCACGGTAAATGCTCCGTAAAACTTCATTCGCTAGTGCCCCTACTTCGAACATTCTCAGCAAGGACACGTCTTGCCACTTCCACTGAAGCAAATCGCCCTTTTTTCCTCCATTCACCACCTCTTAGGAGGAAGTTCCACTCTGAAAGCTTCTTTCCCAGAACAACATCACTTTGGAATAAGCTACCTCGTGATTGTTTCCCTTATGAGTATAACCTTAAACTTTTTAAGTCTAAGGTCAACAAACATCTGTCCTCACTGGCTGTACTGTAACCCAAAATATTTTGAGTGGCTCTCATGAGCCTTGTTTTGTGGTGACCTATGAAGTAAATAATAATAATAAAAATATTTGTCTTTACGTTGAATTCTCATTTCAAATTCAAGTCCTCCTACCGTTCCTACACGCGGTCTCCTGGTTCTCTTCAGCTGAGGGAAGTTGCAGATTTTCGGCTTCTTCAACTTGTTGTGGATCGTCAGGGTCGGCTGAAATTTTCTCTCGGATTTCCATCAACTTTTCCTCCAAGACACTCACCTAGAGAGTAAAGGAAAAAAATCCATAGCCATTTTAATGTACACTCACTACGTTAGGCTTTCCTCCTAGCTGCAAGTTTTGAAGTTGCTAGAATGTCTGTATCTGTACAGCCGGTACAACCGCCCTTCGGCGTAACACACCAGCTTCCCAGGCACGCGGCGTGGCGGCAGCTAGCTATATCACACCGAACGACTTGTTACACTCAATCTCTGCACATTTAATTGCAGGAGTTGTTTAAAGCTTTCTAGTGATGATGCCTCAACTGTGCTTGGTGGCTTGAGTTCCAGTCTACGATAGTTCTGGGGAAAAACGAGTTTTTGAACACTTCTACTAATCAATTCTTGCTTGATAACTCTGATATTTGAAGGCATGACTGTTTCTTGTTCTTTTTTGGACTGGTATCAGATACTTAGTGGTTGGTGCGCCCACAAGCTTTTCTTCTAGCTGCAAGATTTGAAGTTGCTAGAATGTCGCTTGATCCCGACTTCTTGCTGTCAGAGAAGCGACCTGGATGCCTTTAACAGGAGTGAAGTTGATGGGGCATATACAAGGCTCGTTAGGGAGCAGGTGTGGCAGGGACTTGTTAACTTCATTATCGTTACTCACATTCACTGACATTTCCCAAGGTTGCCATTGTAACATGATCCCAGATTTCTAGATGGCTGATAAACAAAGATGCGTTGGAGAACACATATAATTAACAGTGAACACGTCCATGGTAAAGTAACAAAGACTACTAACTGTATAATTAACAGTACTAGTGAAGACATTCCTAGTAAACTATACATTAATAATAGTATCCACTACAAGTTACAAAATGCATTGAAGACATTGAAGATACCGTCTTTACTGCTCTAACCTTTTCCCTACTTCCAATAAGCTGTGGTGGAAACAAGCCGTTTTGTGCATTAGGAGGGAAGCGAAAAAGTCTGAAAGTGCTGTAATAAGCTGTAATAATGTAATTTCAAAACTCCAGGAAGGTTAGCTACATAATATGTGACTTTCATATTGTATGAAACTAATGGAGTTAATGATAAAGTCTCTAAATGCACAGAAATCACCCCCAGGACTGGTGAGCTGGCAATATGTGGCAGGCAGTCTCGTGTAATGCTCATGATTCTGGGCAAATGGTTTCACATGTGCTTTCAGAACTAGGCGGCCGCTTTGTGTTCGTGTTTAGTGGAGCCCGCATGATCAGCTTGTTTCTACCTCATTTCATCAGTCAGGAGGTAAATAGAGAGTGGTTTACTTGGGGGTAATGAGAGAGATAGAACTTGTAGGTCAATCTCCAGCCTGAGAAGTAAAACCCTTTGAGTACTTTGTACTGTTCCATTTGCAAATCTGCACATTTGTATGTTGTACAGATGTATTTGTATTTGTACTAGGAATACTGGTGTTCAAAGTTGATTGATAAAGTTGCTTGATATATTTCCAGAAGGGATTTTTAACGATCATCACGACCCAGTTTAATAGATCAACATGAAGTTGGCTTGCACTTTATAGAAATGAAACACTTTAAAAATCAACTTACATTTTCCTTTTTCGTTTGATTTTGGCATTCTACAACATTGGTATCGTTTTCCAATGTTTGTTTTCAACCTATGGTATATATTTCCTAATCCTGCAACTGTTTTGTAGGATTTACAGTATGGTTGAAAACTTTTTTTTGAAACGGCACGGATGTCATCCATATAATCAAATCAACATGGCCTAAGGGAGGTGTAGTCACCTCTGCCACAAACCTTTCTTCCCCCCTCCCTGAAATGGAATGACCCGTACCGAATGTCTCCTAATTTGGGTTGGCAGAGATGAGCTAACCTGAAGACAGACAGCTGTAACACACAGGTACGAATAGAATCCAGGAAAACGGACTTGCAGAAACCATTCCAAGAAGACTCCAGGTGAGTCCATGTTTCCCCCTTCTTAATGAAAAATGAGTCCAATTTCTTGCTTACAGATTGTTTATATATAAGGCCACACCAATTTAATTTGTTGTTTCTCGAATTCGCCCTGTCCATTTTTTTCTGATTTTTTTCTGATTTTGCTTCTAAATCAACTGCAAAATGCTCAATGAAAGAAACATTTTGGCTCCAATGGTTGAAGAAAGTCATTTTCCTCCTAGCTGTTTAAGTTTTTAGAAGTTTTGACTTCATGGCTCATATCGTAATATTCCCGACTATCACGGGGTGCATTGGCCTGTTTTTTTTCGCCCGGTCGCTTCGAATATTTTTTCTGAAAAATTGTTTTCTATCGATTGGTTAGAAATGTTTCTATTTCAGGCTGATACGTACCCAACATTTGATCAAATAACACCCTCAAAGCAGTTCACCTGTACAGCATAGCGTCTATTTCATGATCAAGTCACCAAGGGTTTTTCTAATAATAATTTTTGAAATGATTTTTCAGTATTTGGAATATTTTTTAGTCACAATAGTCAAATTTTCCATAAAAGGGGGCCTGCATCCCCTTTTTTCGTAAGGCGTAATCAGGCCTTTTTAGTCTCGCGTAGGCAGTCTCCCCCGGCCCCCAAACCAGCTCTGAACTTTAACGTAATTCGTAATTGGCGACGAAAATTTTGCGTAATTCATAATCACAAACCCCCATGCAGGCCCTCATAAAATGGAAAATGAAATTTGAATATGCTTGAATTTATGATATGTGTTTTCTGACAGACATACGAAGATGCAGCCTGGCGAAGCTCTGCTTCTGACTGTCAGCCTGATGTTTTACACATCGCTTCTCACCGCTGGACAAGCCACAAAGGAGGAACAACTCCAGACACCTGCACCCTTTGACCCTACAGCTGCACCATTTGACCTTACAGATATGCCCTATGAACCTACAGATGTGCCCTTTGACATGACCTCTGCAGGACCAGACAACTCCACCTGGTTGGTCCACCACAAATCCAAGCTGACCAATCCCAGCCCGGCCCGGCCCGGTTGGCATGACGACAGCTTCTTGCTGAAGAAGAAGCGTCAGGCGATCCACTTGCTGATTGGTGCGGGCACGGGGCTGCTGCTGGCGGTCTCCCTCGTCATCTGCATCTTCTGCCTCCTCTCCTACTTCGAACTCTGCGCCGAGCCACAGCCCGAGGTGCTGACCGACTTCACTCCGCAGCGTGACGGGCGCAGGAAGACCCTGGCCCGCGGCGAAGCGCTGCCCATGACCGAACTTCGCCGGCACAACGCCTCGCCGGATCCGGACAAGCTCAACGTCACCATGTCAGGTCCGCCCATCCAGGAGACGGTCTAGATATCAGACCAGGGCTGTCAATCACTGCAGAGCTGTCAATATTACTGACTCACAACTGTCAATCACTGCAGAGCTGTCAATCACTGAAGAGCTGTCAATCCCTGAAGAGCTGTCGTTCACTGCAAAACAGTTAATCACTGCAAAACTGTCAATCACTGACTCACAACTGTCAATTACTGCAGAGCTGTCAATCACAAAGAACTGTCAATCACAAAGAACTGTCAATCACAAAGAACTGTCAAACACTGCAGAGCTCAGTACAGAGCTGTCAATCACTGCAGAGCTGTCAATCACTGCAGAGCTGTCAATCACTGCAGAACTGTCAATCACTGCAGAGCTATCAATCACTGCAGAACTGCCAATCACTGCAGAACTGTCAATCACTGCAGAGCTGTCAATCGCTGCAGAGCTGTCAATCACTGCAGAGCTGTTAATCACTGCAGAACTGTCAATCACTGCAGAGCTGTCAATCACAAAGAACTGTCAATCACTACAGAGCTGTCAACTACTGCAGAGCTGCCAATCACTGCAGAGCTGTCAATCACTGCAGAACTGTCAATCACTGCAGAACTGTCAATCACTGCAGAGCTGTCAATCGCTGCAGAGCTGTCAATCACTGCAGAGCTGTCAATCACTGCAGAGCTGTCAATCACTGCAGATAGAAGTTCACAATCAGAAGCTTACACTATATATGGTATGGTCACAAGATTTGACAATAAACTGTTCACATTGACAAGCTGATAAAGTTTCGTGTTTCCCAGACTTTTTGCTGCGATTTCATCCACAAAATTTTATCACGGTAGGATTATAGGGCTCACTGTGTCTGAATCCAGGTTAGGCAGCAAACCAACTTTATAAATTACAAAGTTCAAACTTAAGTATACAGTCTACCGTCTATCATGTATAAAGGTTTGGTCATGATTGCCCACTTAGCTTCCCTAATGTCCTCTAAACTGGCATAATAGCCGCCAGCTACAGTTTCAATGTAGATTGAAATTTTTATCCCAAGCTGAAGCTTTTATTCCAGCATAGTCGCAATGCAAAGAAGTTATAATACACTGTGATCAGCTTGATTCAGTTCTGCCATGAGGCCACAGCAAGTAATTTTTATGGATGACATCAACGCGCGCATTAATTTTCGCCTGATTTTGAGGGGGAAAAAAAGAAATTTTGTTGCCTTCTGACAGTGGTCACCATGCCGAAAATGGGCAAAGATGTCTGTTGCCATGCCGGAAGGTGAATGGCAGATAACTATGAAGAGAGGAGACAAGAAAATGCTTTAATTTAATGTTTTGTTTCTTACTTTGATGCAGTGATATGTGATGCTGGCTGTGTATATGTGATGTTCCCACTGAATAAAAACCATTCGTGCAATGATTCAGTCAAAATTTCAAAATGTAGGAACCTTGTTTTTTTCGGCCCGCCTTTGTTTTTTTTTCGCCCGCTCGCATTAGATTTGGAGTCTGCGGAGGATGTCATCCATAGAATTTACTTGCTGTGGCCTTATACAAGCCCTGGTGACAAACCCCGGCAGTAACAGACCTTATACCAAACCATTATCACCGAGCTGGTGACAGTCGCTGCAGCTGGGTGCAACGTTAACAGCCACCGTGTACGTGTGTGACGAGGCGACATGATTGGCGGAGACGTAATTACCTGCCCTTTGGCAGACCATATAAACGAGCTTCGAGCTATAATTTACACGAGGCTGCTCTTTAGTCGTTCAGTCAAAACTCACAGGAGCTGCCACACTGTTCTAACAAAGCCGAGGGAAAAGCACAGCTACACCGAGGATGGCAGGTAACATTATATAAGCAGGTATATGTCATTCACCTGAATCAGACTTGCAAGGCTTTTTTTAACGGAGTAGTTAAATGCAGGGCCTATACGACCACTTCTCCACATCGAACTAGAAAGATGAGAAATATGGCTATGATCAAGAGATGGTGGTGAACGTTTGATTTGAAAGCCTGTAGATTGTAGGTTGGTGGGAAACACTTGTCAGGGAGGGACCGGAGTTCCAAAGCTTGGCCGTACGGGGAAAGAAACTGTCACTGTAAAAAGATTTCGAACAAGGAATTTGGACGGTGAAGTTGTGTGAGCTAGTGGAGAACCTAGTGGAACGCTTAAAAGTTCTGAGTGGTGGAACTAGTTGGGTGAGTTCTGCAGAGCAATGACCATGAAAATATCGGTAAAAGAGGGATAGAGAGGCAACATTTCGTCTATGGGAAAGGGGGTCTAACTTGGGGGCCAGAGGATAGCCTATGGCCACGCAAAGTAGTATGAAGAGGGCCTTGGCGTATTACACATACCTTAGCCTCCACGCCTTTCACATGTGTGAAAAAAAGCTCGATTTGCACCAGCATCTCTTCATGCCGCTCCACGGTAGAGGCCAACTTCTTCAGTTCACTCCAGATCTCTGGAGGGATGGAAACGATCCTTATCAAATTTGAAAACTTCCGCTAGCCTATATACCACTGGGCCAATTCGACGGCACATGTACTATATTTAGGCCACAGCAAGTAAATTTTATGGATGACATCCCCCGCAGACTCCAAATCTAATGCGAATGAGCGAAAAAAAACAAGACGGGACAAAAAGAAACAAGGTTCCTACATTTTAAAATTTTGACTCAATCATTGTACAAATGGTTTTGATTCAGAGGGAACATCACATATACACAGCCAGCATCACATGTCACTGCATCAAAGTAAGAAACAAAACATTAAATCAGAGCCTTTTCTTGTCTCCTCTCTTCATAGTTATCTGCCATCCACCTTCTTTGCCCATTTTCGGCATGTTAACCACAGTATTTTTTTCAAAATCAGGCGAAAATTAATGCGCGCGCTGATGTCATCCATAAAAAATTACTTGCTGTGGCCTTACGGATTATTTTCTGGTTGCTGCAGCACTTTTAAACGGCAATGAAATGTTGAACAAGGCAACAGGAAATAACAGACTACCCTCTTGGTGGGAGGGCCACTAGGAGTGTGATTTAATCAATCAACACCAACAAAGGCAGGACAAGGTTACGTAAAAAAAATGAAAAACAAGTGTGTGGTGTGCCATGGTGGCTTTGTGTTTGACCACCGGAGTAGTAAATTTAATAAAGAGTGGTCTAATCAAGACAAGCGAAGTCTAAGAAGTGTGCGTGGGGTCTACCAGCATGGCGGCCTAAAGTTGACTGAATCCTACCGTGGCCGTGAATGATTTCTATCTAGGAATTATTACTATACCTGTATCAATATAGCCTGTATAACCGCACTTCGGCGCAGCAAAATTCCGTCTCGTAAACGGTCGTCGCCTTTCCGAACGGTCGTCGCCTTTTCTCAGAACGGTCGTCGCCTTTCCGAACGGTCGTCTTTTCTCAGAACGGTCGTCGCCTTTCCGAACGGTCGTCGTCTTTTCTCAGAACGGTCGTCGCCTTCCCGAACGGTCGTCGCCTTTTCTCAAAACGGTCGTCGACCGTTCGGAAAGGCGACGACCGTTTACGAGACGGAAATTTGCTTCGGCGCAACACGCCAACTTTGCAGGCACGCGGCGCGGTGGCATGCAGCTAGCTATATTACACCGAACGACTAATGCCCCTACTGTACTTGGTGGCAACGAGTTCCACGATAGTTCTTGGAACATACGAGCTTTTGAACACCTCAATATTCTTGGTTGATAACTCTGAGAGAGAGGGGAGAGAGAGAGAGAGAGAGAGAGAGAGCTCAATTCTTGGTTAATAACTGGGAAAGTAATGAACATTCGTTAATTCCGTATTGTTTGGCTGAAGTAGACTCTGCCAGGCTTCCCAGGTTTCAGAAGCCTGGTAGAGGCTAATACTAGTGAAGTTCTTACGTCTGGTGAAGAAGTCTTCCTTTGCGGGAGCCGGGGCGGTACTGACCAGGCCTGGTGAGGGAACACCGACTGCCAGAAACACAACCAGAAACACGACAAACATCGTGGCGGGTCCTGTCTCCGCCGTATCCAAACACTTTTCTGTGTCTAACGGTGTTGTTTCCTAAAGTAATTAAGGCCATATGATCTAATTATATGGATGACGTCCTTTGGATATCTAACACTGTTGCGAACGTGCGAATAAAAACGGAAAAATTAGACAAAAAGAAAAAAAAAGATACCTTGGTAGATACTTTGAAATCAAAGTGATCAGTAAGGTTGAACAAATGACTGAACACATAGAACATGGTATAACCAACAGTAAATTCTTTATTTTTTCCTCTTTCACATTTTCTTTGACTTGGAAAGATTTGGCGGTGCAATGCTGGTTTTTTTCTCTATGATCTTCTTTTTTTACTTCATTTTGACCTCTGTGATCCCTAAAATAAAACAACAAACAAAAGCAGTATGGTCACAAACATGGCTTTTTTTGGAAATGAATGAAAATTAAATTCCTGTGCGTGTGTATGTCATCTAAGTGTGTATTGAAGTCAGTAAGTCAGTATGCCCTGACAGGAACAGGCTAAACCATTCGATCAGATTCCCAGAGGGGTGAGGGGCAGTAGAAACTATAGAATGGTAGGAGCCCCTTTTATAAGAAGGTGAGGAAAATGATATTTGTGACGAAGTATGATGTACGTTAGGTCAAATAATACCTGGGGAAGCAGAGTAATAGATTTTAATGATATTCTATGTTAGGTTTATTCCAGCGATTACTGAAATGATCACACCCTAACACACAACACTGTTACTGGGACATTTATGATTGTTTTGTTGTCAAAGACCTCCCAAACCTAATTTCAAAGAGGACATTGGCAGAGTTAATTAAATTCAGCAACAGTGTGAAACATAAGCCATAATTACGTAACTTGCCAATGGATAGCCGGTAGTGTCTTAAAACGTTGATTAACTTAATTTCGCCAAGGTTATGTTTTAATTTCGTGGCTGTGTGTCCATTCTAGGGCGAGCTTCACCGCCTCAGTGGCGGGACCACGTCGGCATTCGGCCGAGGTACGCTGGGAGGGGGGCACCAGCAAGCAGGTCGTTGACCTCTGACAATACTAACGAAAAAGCCCTATATTCAGCCACTCGTGAGAGTCGTTCAGCACCAAGGACAGGTTTGCTTGTGGGTGGAAGGTGTTCATTTTACTACGGAATGAAATCCCCGCGAAAAGAAATGAATTCACAGTAATATGAAAATTAGACAAGAGTGTTATATTTCATACTATGGTCACAAAACTTATTCGTAAAAAAAAACATTTATTTGTCGATATAACAGAAATACTCAAGTACACGGTAGCTGCATTTTTATCCATTTTTTGACCCTGAGATTGAAATTAGAAGTCTTCGTAATTATCTATATCTAATCCTCCTTCTTTTTGCACACATAAGTGCCTAGCGCCGAGACGGGCTGTCATTGGTCGTCATAATTAGATTATCAGGTTCACTTTAATTTGACAGCTGTTTTGTACACCTGTGTAAAAACAAGTTTGGCACATGGTCCTTTCAAAATGGCGGTTTCGTGCGACGGGAAAACTCTGGGCTGAAACGTTTTGGGTACATTTTTTAGTTTTCGTCGGTAGAACGTTTCAATAAGTGTGCAGCAGAATATTTGGGAGTTTTCGCTGTGGATTTGTGCCGTTCTGGTGATGTTTTGAGGAGAAAATGCGGATTTCCTGACCTGGCGAATTTTGGAGAAGACAAAATGGCGAGACGGTTGGGAAGAGTAGCGTGGCATAGAGACGACTTCGCTTCTTGTTGCAGGTATGTACGTGAACCAGAATTGTTTGGCTGACATTATTTCCTAGCGACTATAGTAGGAACATGTCAAATTATTGTCCGTAAGAAACGACCCAGTTCTGTATTTTAGACTGAGGCTTGGGAAATGTCAAGTTGCCGCGTCTTCAACAACATTTTCAGTGTGCGGTGGGCTTGTAGAATGTTAAATGTATGTGTAGGACTACCAAGAGGTCAATTATTCAGCGTTTTGAGGTTATATTTGTTGAAAGAAATTATGCATTTAAGAAGTCTTTTTCATTTCCTTTGTCTTTATCCCACGTGGTTGAAAACACCTGTTGGAATGTGCACGTTTGCACATTTAAGTATTTTTGATGATCCCGCCAAAAACTCGCGTAAACAAGATGCCGAAATGAATACGATACAAAACGTTTGGAAACTTCAGTCGAGTTGACCATGCTTTCGTTCTTCATTAGCATTTGCAGTGTATTAACTATTATATGTGATTTAAAAGCTTGTTCACTTCCACTTTAGACTAATTCTGTAATTCTATTAAATGACCGACCAAGGCCCAAGTATTTGTGTCGCAAACACTACAGTTGACTACCCTGAAAGGTTGCAATTTTTCAAAACATTTTGCGGCAAGTATATGTTTTCCACATAAAGTTTCAGTTGAAGGGGTTTGATTTATTTTATTGTTGTTGCTATCCCCGTTTTTTATGGTCATCAGGTACAGTTTTTGTTGAGGTATTTGTTTTAAAGTGAAGAAATCTAAGGTGCATGCTAGTATTTAAAAATGTAGTAGATGTAGCTTTATAGATATAACTTATTGTTGAAAAGGGTAGACACAACCACATTGCAAGAAAAAATTTGTCATTACTGTAATTTAAATGAGATTGAAGACAAGAGTCATTTTATTGTGGACTGTACTTTATATGATAATGAAAGATTCTCTTCAATTATATACAAGGTTATTTCCCTAGCTTTAGATTTTTAGATAGAAAGGAAAAATTCACTTTCCTCATGAAACTCGATAATCCTTGTACTATAAACTCCATCTGTTCTTACATTTAGAACTGTCTTAAGAAGCGAGAAGCAGAACCTGTACATATGTAGTTTTACTATAGATATATTTTAGTCTACCATCGCTATTTACCATGACCTGTACTTAGTTCGCAATGAGCAAAAATGTACAATAAAGGTCTTTCATTCATTATATTGTCTGACAAAGGTACGCTTGTAATATTGCAACTGTTATGGTTTTTGTTTCCTTGCTGTGCCACTTTTCTCTGCAAGTATCCCCCTCAACCCAAAATGTGGTTTCAGATTTCACATCTGCAACATAGGAAACTTTACCTCAAAATGTCTCTTGTATTGTAACAACTACATGTATCATATTACAATAGGACTACACCCATATGTTTTATATCAAAGTTATGCTTGTAAAGTTGTGTTCATTGTCATTTTCTCAATGCTTCGTGGTTGTCTCAATGATCCAGACTTTATTTTCAAAGCTCAGGTATTTACACTTCCTAGCCTTTCATATCCAGTGTTGTCAGACAAGTGTCCATATTACATTTATGACTGTAAGTTAGCAGATAGGGGGGCTGCTGACTGATGCAACAGTGGGGACTACTGTCTGAACCTGACAAGAGAAGACTGGACGGGACCAGATGATTTGAAGACCCAAGAGGAATATCAGGTGAGAAAAATCTGAATTCTGCATTTTACCTCAGTACCAGCTAGTTGGTCTTATTTGAGACATGTGTGTAACTTGTAATGTCTGTATAGTTAGGTGGCTGCTGACTGATGCAGTAGTGAGGCAACAGTGGTGACTACTGTCTGAACCTGACAAGAGAAGACTGGACCAGACCAGATAATTTAAAGACCCAAGAGGAATGTCAGGTGAGAAAAATCTGAATTCTGCATTTTACCTACAATTATTTGAGATGTGTAACTTTTCATGTCTGTAGTTACATTTGTAGTTGGCTGCTGACTGATGCAGTAGTGATGGCTCCTGTCTGAACCTGACAAGAGAAGATTGGACAAGACCTGGAGATTTCAAGACCTCAGATGAATATCAGGTAAGAAAAATCTGAATACTGTATTTTATCTACTATCCCTTTGGTGTTATTTGAGACAAATGTGTAACTTGATAATATGTTGTTGTATAGTTAGGTGGCTGCTGACTGATGCAGTAGTGGTGACTCCTGTCTGAACCTGACAAGAGAAGATTGGACCAGACTGGACCTGGACATTTGAAGACCCCAGAAGAATATCAGGTGAGAAGAATCTGAATTCTGCATTTTACCTACTATTCTTTTGATGTTATTTGAGACAAATGTGTAACTTTTAATGTTGTATAGTTAGGTGGCTGAACTTTTAATGTTGTATAGTTAGGTGGCTGCTGACTGATGCAGTAGTGAGGACTCCTGTCAGAACCTGACAAGAGAAGATTGGACAAGACCTGGACATTTGAAGACCCCAGAAGAATATCACGGGTAAGAACAATCTGAATTCTGTATTTTATAATCATTTCCCTGGTGTACATGTAATTAGAGATAAGGGTGTAACTTATATTATTGTGTAGTTGATGTAGGTGGCTGCTGACTGACATATAGCAGTGGTGACTTCTCTCTGAACATGAAAAGATTGGGGAAGTGAGACCTGACCTGGAGACTTGAAGGCACAAGATGAATATTAGGTAAGGAAAATCTAAATTCTTCATTTCATAAATTATTTACTTAAGTTTAATGTCTGATGTTTTATATAAATAGATGGCTGGTGAAGGAGGACTGTCTGAACCTGACAAGACTGGCTAGTAGAAGACCAGGTGATCTGGAGGCACAAGAGCAAGATGACAGCATCCACAGGTGAGGCAATGCTTCATATGATTCCTTTTACTTTGGTCTTAATAAAATTTATAGAAATAACATAACATAAAAAACATAAACTGTGCAGTTTTATCATTATCATTTCATGGTCACCCAGCATTGCTTGGAGATGTTTTGCGTATCACACTTTTATAACTTGATCTGTATATAGTTAGGTGTGTCCTGATGTACCTGTCCTGACTGGGAGGAACCTGTGATGATGGGCAACTCAGTGTCCAAACTGGACCAGACCAGATAGACTCATGCATGCAGCAAACCTGTTGACCTAACCACACAGTGAAGTGAAGAGGCTGTACAGGTGAGACATTGGTTTACAACTTGTATGAAAGAACTTTACCTTTTTTCTTGGATATGTTGTTAGTTCATTCATTCT